ACTATTGCATAACCTTCTGTAGAATAATGAACCAAGGGAAGAATGGAAAAAGCCTTGAAGTATGGATGAAAATATTTTTAAATACTTTCTTAAATGTAAAATTATATTCGTGATTCTACTGTTGATTTATTAGTGTGAATTTAATCAAGTTACTTAAATTCTCTGTGACACTATCTGTGAAATAGACATAATGATCCCTAACCTGATAGATCTGTGATGAGACTAATTAATGAATAACATATACAGCTGTCCTCACAGAGAGTACGTGCTTAATATTAACTATAATTCATATTTTTTCCACAAACTGTTAAAGTTTCCACAGGGAGGTTATGACACAAATATCAATTGGTTATTTCATAGTACCATCTCCCCTCCTCCCAGCTTTGTCAACCAAAAAAAAAAGAGGGGGAATACAGCCCAAATGGAAATGGGTATTGGAGTAAATAGGCTGATATTTCTCTTACTTTCATAGTCTCTCTTGGTGAGAATTGAAAGCAAAGAAAAAGAAGCCACTAAGTTATTGAAATAGCTATGTATAAAATACTGGTCTTTACTCAGACTATGATACTCATATTTTACAGACATTTCTAAAACAGCTCTCTGTTTCATGGTTTTCAGGCTATAACTAATAAAGGGGATTGTTTTTAAACACTCTATGTTCTAGGAGCTGAGCCAGGGACCTTCAGTAGGCTATTTTATTTAATCTTTGGAAATCATTATGAGGAAGCATATTTGTTTTTTATTGCTGTAAATAATAACCACAATTTTAGTGGCTTGAAACAAAACAAATTTATTTTCTTACAGCCCTGGATATCAGAAATCCAAAATCAGTTTCACTGGACTAAAAACAACGTGTTGGTAGCCTGGGTTTCTTCTGGAGGGTCTAGGGGTGAACTGGTTTCCTGCCTTTTTTGGCTTCTAGAAATAGACTAAATTCTTCAGCTTGTGGCCCTGTCCTTCATCTTCAAACTCATCATCCAAAACTGTTTCCAACTTGATGTCTTCTCTCTCTTACTCTGGCCCTTCTCCCTCCCACGTACGTATAAGGTTCTCTGGATGACACTGGGCCCACCTGGAGAACACAGGATCACCCCCCCATTTTAAAACCCTGATTTTAATCACATCTCTGCAGTCAGTCCCTTCTAACATGCCAAGAAACATTAATAAATTCTGGGGAAAGTGCATCCCATCTTTGAGGATAAGGGGTTGATTTTCAGTCTATTGCAGGTAGACACTATTCTACTTACTTTGCAGATGAGAAAAAATATAATAATTAACTCCACTTGAGAAATACAATTCAAAGAGACTGAATAACTTACCCAAACTCACCAAACTAAACGTGGTCATTGACATACTAATGTAGGTCCTTCTGACCCTAATGCTGTTTCTACTACACAATTCTGCCCCCAAAGTAGAAAGAAAAAGATCAAGGAAAGGTTCCTTCCTTAAGAGTATATTTTTAAATTGTTTCATTGGTTAAAATATTTATTAAATATTTTTATTGAATAGCTACTCTATACTAGTAAATAAGACTTAATTTAGATGCCGAGAGGATATATGAATCAGACTCAGTCAGCCCCAGAAATCCCCTATTTTAGCCATATATTTCAATGCCTATAACTCCTAATTCTACATCTACAGACCTGGACAAACTCAACTATCTAGCTGACAACTCCAGTTTCATGTTCTATACAGTTTTTCAATTTGCTGTGTCTGGAACTGAACTTTGGAATTCTTCCCCTGCAAATAAGTTTAATCTCTCAGCCTTCTCCACTTCAGGAAAGAGCATCGCCTTGCTTCTCTCCTTCATAGCCCACAGCTAACAAATAATCAAATGCCTGAAATTTGTCTCAAAAATGTACCCTAATGCTATTTATGTCTCATTATTTTCATTAGCCCCAGACTTCTATCTGGTATCTTCATTTCCATTCTTATATTGCCTCAATCTATTTTCCATACATAACCTCCTCTGAACATAAATTGGATTATGTCAATTCCACGGTAAAATACTTCAATAACTACCTGCTACATTTCAGGCATACCTTGATCTGTTTAGGACATTTGTGTGCCTGTTGTCCTGGAGTAAATAGTAATAGAGCCTCCATTCACTTTTAACATTCTTCCATTTAGACAATAATTTACATAGCCACCCTATATTAGGGCTTTGTGTAATCTTTTCTCTGCTTACAATTTCTTCCCAGAGCCACAGCCTTTTTCCCTTAGGACTCATTGGGGCCTGCCCTGGAGTCTCCCCCATAATTACTTTTCTTCAAAAGCTGAACCAGTGTTTAATCCTATACTTAATTGTTTTGTTTGTTGAATGTCTATTCATGCTATTAGGGTATACAGAGAGAAGCAGGCCCATGCTGATGGTGTTTACCCCTAGACACTCCAGTTAGCATAGAACCTGGCTCATGGTGGGTGTCCACAAAATATGCATTGAAGGATTAATGGCTAAGTAAACGTGCCATACAGTCAGGGAGTTATGTAAACACACAGTATACCATTTACATCATAAAAATGTGTTCAAGATACCAATGACCAAAACTAATACAGAAGAGGAAGAATTACTTCTGTTTAAAAAGAGAGGTTGACCAGGGAAGGCACCATAAGGGGAGGAAGCCCAATTGGTGCTGATGAATGAAAAAGAAACTAGGAGAAACGATTTCCAAGTAGAAGAGATGGCATTTGCAAAGGCAAAAAGGTTTAAAACAGTGGTTATTCAGGAAACTCAAAGCAGTTTCTTTTATTAGAGTATACAGTCTTGCATAAATGATATATTAATGCTATGTATCCCTAAGGACAAAACCTAAATTATGGAAAACACTGCAGGAAATATAGAGAAGCACTAAGACATTTGAAACTTAGCTTTGTTTTCATGTACAGCGCTAGGATGCTTTGAGAATTCTTATTGCATATTTAGCTCACCTTATAAATTATAGACATTCTTAGATAAGCAAATCACTTTTTGAAGAGTTATATTTGAAACTTCATTACCATAAAGAATCCTCCCAGTAGTGAGTTTGTCATGCAATATTCACAAAATTATAATACATAATCCATAAGAAGCTATATTGAGATTTATGGTATATAAAACTAAACTGGGGTTTTCCTTCAAATAATTCTTTTAGTTTTCATTTTAAGAGTTATCTCAAATTTCTTCTTCGAGATATGTATTCCTATTCATTCTTTGATTGCAAAAAAAAACAGGCTAAGACTACTAAATTAACATTTTCACATTTATATTATACAACTGCAAAGATGACTATAATTGTATGATTTATAGAATATCAGGTCATATTTAAAATATATTTTATTAATTTCAGAGAATGAGAAGTAGAGGGGATAGAAACATCAATAATGAGAGAAAATCATTGATTGCTGCTTCCTGCATGCCCCACACTGGGATGGAGCCTGGCATGTGCCCTGACCAGGAATCAAACCATGACCTCCTGGTTCATAGGTAGATGCTCAACCACTGAGCCATGCCAACTGGGAAATCAAGTCATATTTTGATGTAAGAGTTGAAACAGTGAATTAAAACTCAACTCAGGGGTATATATCTAGAAGGAGAAGTTTCTTTAAGAAATATCCTTAGTATAAATAACCATAAATGGTTTCCTAAACATAAAACATGTATACCAGAAATTGAATACTGGTGGACTACAGGACATGAATGCTTTATTTGGCTCTCAGAGCAGTTCAAAGTTTGAGTCAAGATTTAAATTTGGAGAAGTCACATAAACCATCCAGTTCTAGTTCCTCTTAAAAATTGAAAACTGAGAATACTGGTGGGAAAACCAGTCTCCTACAGGGGAGTAGTTGCTCTTAAGTTCATCAGAATCACCTCCCCCATCAGCCCAGGTTCTGAGATCCAGACCACTTCCCTCATGTATGTTACATACCTGAAACCTTGTGCCAGACCACTAAAACCCCCAACTATTAAAGACCAATTAGCACTATCACAATGTCTAGGAAAGTATTAGAAATTTCACATTTTGTAATACTGAAAATTGAATGTACATGCTATTTTCAAAAATCATCTAAAAATGCGACAATTAAGACATTTAATCTCTTCTTCCTTGGGTTTTGTTTGTTCACTAAATAGCACCAAAACTAATAAGAAGCCAAACAAGTCCAGGATATATCTTCAACACAGGATATATCTTCAACACAGGATATATATTAAAGCCGATCTCTGTAGGACCTAGGGACCATGAAGCCCTCTTAACACCCATCTGCAGCTGAACCTATGACTTGGTTTTATTTTTTCAGACTTTCAAGAAAAATTTCACTTCACACAATAATTTCATGCCTTACATTTTTAAATCATGGAACTAGACAATGTTCTGGGGCTTTTTAATGCACCAACAATTTTAACAAGTTGCTATACTCACTTTTTTTAAAAAAGGATTCACCACTCCACAAACTTTTCTGGACTGGGTCCTTTCCATGTAATTTTTATATTGCTTTCCTTTCCTTGTATATGCACAGCAAAACGTTTTATGAAGATATCAATTTGTATGTTATGCTTGCCTCTTCAGAATAAATTGAAAAATCTGTGTGTTTCTGTCTGAGCTCTCTTTGAAAGGGCTTTTAAGGGCTTTTGTGCAGTAGGACCTGACATTGCAATTCCAAGGCACAAGCCTCACTTAGGTTTTGTTTGAGAAATTGACATATTTCTCTAGCAGTGGAGGTAAGGGTGAAGCGTGATTTCCTTCTCCTTTTCCTTATCAAACACAGGTCTATGTATTTTCCCCCTGGCTGGTAAGATATTTCTCTTGTCCTCTGGTCACTGTAACAATCCAAAAATATATAAGTATATCATGCCTTTGATCTGTGGTTTGAGTGTAAGTACTTCCCTATACTCTATCTTTAAATTGCAAGCATACTATATTTAAATAGATAAAAAATTGACATGTTTTCCATATCGAAACAGTTCCAGATCAGGAAATAGAAAGCTAGAGAAGTCACTTCCACAGGAAGGGATGGGCACGTACCTTAGCTATCTGGACACACCAGTTCAGCAGCAGCTGGGAACCGATGTTATCCTTGTGTTCATGGACGTAATCCAACAGGCAGCCATGGGGCATAAGCTGTGTCACCAGCTGAATGGTGGGGCTCAGACACACCCCCAACAACCGGACTAAATGTGGATGGTCCATGCTTGCCATGATCAGAGCTTCCTGTAAGAAAAAAATATAACACCATTATTTCAATTCAAAGTTCTTTACAAATATAGTTAGTTGCACGGCACTAGTGGTGCTGATAAGGATTTCGAAATGCATTCTCACTTAAGAAATCAATTAAAAATAAAGACATTATGTTGCTATTATATTCTTAGTGAATTAACTCAAGTAAAATTAAATAAAAATAAACACTATACATGTGTCAAAGTAGAAAATACTTTAGAATAAGTGAATATGAATTTAATAGCAGTGTTTTCTCTTTTGTAATACAGAGTATATTAATTGTTATTTACTGCCAAATAAGTTGAAATGGAATCCTGCCTATACCATGGATTTTTCACCTTTGGTCTTTGGTTCTAGAGTACAGTAATTTATATAAATACAGTTATTTACATGTAGAATAAGGTGATGCAAACCTAAGTCACCCATTATTCATAAGCAATATACCTATTGTGCATTTATGTGAAAAAATAAACATTTTAATAAATATTTTTCCTAAGTTCGCCTTAACTCAAATTTATTTTATTTTCACAATTATAAGTGAAATCTTATTCATAGAATTATAAAATCTGAGAGCTAGTTGAGACAAAAAATTGTTTATTCCAAATTCATTAAATAAGGAAACATTTCTATTTTTATCATAATTATAAAGGCACTTTTGCTTAATAGATATAGATTTTAGTGCATCCTAAAGTGAGTTTCCAATGAAAAGTTATTGAAAATGTCTTTATATGAATTTGAAACAGATATGACATTATACACACATACCCCCCACACACACACAAACAGGGGTATGATACATACATGACCATTATTACAATCAGTTTACCTATATGAAGGTTTGTTCATTGTACTTGAATAATTTCTGTAGCTTTAAAATTTTTTCAAACAAAAAAATCGAGGACAGAAAGCTATATTGAACTTCTTTTTAAGATGGCGTAGCAAATTGAATACACACATTTACTTCCATTTGCTCTTAATTCCAATTTAGTAACAATAAAGGAATTAATAAAAAGCCAGAAACCAAATATCATACAGATGGAGCAACAAGGAAAGAATACTAGAAGTAGGAACTGGCTGGGCAAACATAAGAAATCTGAAGCCTAACTTGGCAAGAGGGAAACTGAGAAGAAATCCGATTGACACCACGGGTATACACAGGCGTACACCACCAAAGGCTCCAGGAGTGTTAGCACCATAAACCTCCGTAGGCCGAGCAGGAGGGCATGCATGATTTGCGCAAGATTGCGTCAAAGTATATTTAGGAACAACTTGGACTACTGATCTGTTCTTCCCTCCATCCTTAGGAGAGTGACAAAAAGCATTGTGAACTGTACTATTAGGCACAATAGAAAGAGAAGGACTCTGACAAAAATATTAGACTGATGTAAATTAGCAGATGCTGAAAATTGGGAGCACTCTCTAGTTCCTTCTTCCAGATGGAGCTGTGGCTTCAAAATTCTGAGTTTGTTTAAACCTTGAATTCTATACCCAGGAAAATGTTAACAAGGTGAGTAGATACACAGGCATGTTCAGACATATCTGTTCTTAAAAAATATTATCTCAGGTGCTTCCTTTCTCTGTTAGATGTGTGTATTAAATAAAGAGTACATTCAATTGAGGAAACAAGGAAATAGCAGTGATGGAATATTTCAGAATAAAGGATGTGCAGCAGAATGAGATCACAACATTCAGGCTGGAGTAGAACATGTCACTCTGGAAAGGTGATCCTAAAAGATGAAACTGATAGAATGCCTAATGAGATTAAAGTACATTAAGAGCACCCGGCTGGTGCTGCTCAGTGGTTGAGCATAGACCTATGAACCAGGAGGTCATGGTTCAATTCCTGGTCAGGGCACATGCCTGGGTTGTGGCTCAATCCCCAGTGTGGGCATGGAAGGCAGCTGATCAATGACTCATCATTGATGTTTCTCTTTTTCCCTCTCCCTTCCTCTCTGAAATCAATAATATATATATATATATATATATATGTTAAAGTACAATAAGAGCATATCTACTTTTCTAGCAAAGGGGAAAATCAAATTAGTGGTAGATAAATAGAAAACTAAGCAAAAGTAAAAAGAATAATTTGATGTGAAACAAGAATTGCACGAGAAGATAATTGTATTTACTACAGAACACAGCTGGAAATAGTTATATAATCATAACAACGTAAACACGAAATGCTGAAATAAGCAAACATCATATGACAAAATTGGAAGAAGAGGGGCAGGGAGGTACACTTTAGCAAAGTGGTGATGGAAAGGGTGTAAAAGATATATTCCTATTGTTTTAGTGAAAAGTTAATACTATATGATGCATAAAACCAAAAAAAACAGGAGTTGACAGTATAAACATATTATTTAGATATATGGAGCTAAGCTACAGGAGAAATTGCCAAAAAGTTGGAAGTGATTGCTTTGGTCCATGGAAAATGGGGCCGGAGAAGGGAGAGGTAGGTAGCTAGAGACTGCTGCTTTTCATCTTTAGCCTTGAAGAAGCACTTGGCTTTTATTGTTATTATCTTAAAGCTATTTCTGAGGCTATTACTCACATTTAACCTCCACTACTGTTTTAGTGGTGTTGAGTTCAGTTGAGTTTAAAGATTATTCACTATTATGGGGAGTATATAAATTGACTGAATCTAGCCAGAGTCTTAGGTGAGGTGTAACATTTTAGTGTTTGAGTGTTTGAGTGGCACAGTATGGGCACACGCCTGGAGAAAGGAGTGATTCAGGTCCACACAGAAGAAATAAGCTGGTAGGATGGCATCAGCTTTACTCAAAGAACTTTGTTTTAGAGTCAGTTTTGCAGAAGCTGAAACCGTCATTTCCCAGATGCTTCCAAGTAGGTTAGGTCCTCCAATTCCCCTTTCCTGAGACACCCCAGGAACCAGACGAGTCAGAACACCAGCTTCTATGCTTCCTGGCTGAGACCACCACAACAACACCTTGAAGATGGGAAGCCCAGAGAGGCATCACCTCTGGCAAGGGCACTGGCATTCTCAGGGGGTGCCAGTCAACAGTGCCAGGGCTAGGACCTCTCAGTGGCTCCACCTGGGGGCAAGAGCTGGTAAGAAAGGACAAGGACCCTGTAGATACCACAGGTGACTGAACTGGGAGACTGGTTTACGAGTGTGTATGAGATACCCAGGAACCTCCCAAACTATTTGGGAAAGGTTTACTGGGGACTGGAGTTTCTGCAGAATCAGCAAAGCCAGAAACTTGAGTTATTACGATTGATGTGGCCCCAGCTAGATCAACACTTTGGTTTTACTTACTGTATATTTCAGTAAACATGTGAAGTAAAGCAAACCACTATGGTTATAGGAGAGTGCAGAGAGGAATGACAGCCAAGTTAAATGACCTGTTATGCAATCCAGTACTAGGATTAGTTGATTAATTCAACATTAATTAATATTAAGAGTGTAAGTCAGAGGGTTCCTGTGCTGATATGCACACATAGAAATATGCACACACATCAACAAATAAGCAAAACATACAATCAAATGAGTATCTAACTTAGTCAAGTACCAAATTAAATATTTAATCAGCCACTCAATATCAGCTATCTCGTTAACTTAAATGTATCCTGATTGTATTCTCTCTATTTTTCTTCTCTGGTAGCTCTGTCTTTCATGTGCATAAGGGTCACCTCAGTTTATCCCAAGTGTAGCATTCTTGATCCCACTCCCAGAAAATCAGGTGCGGAAATGGATCAGAAGTCTGCACTTGTATCAAGCTCCCTAGATGAAGCCACTGTAGGTAATAGGAAACTCTGAGAACTCCTAGAATACCTCCATTAAATCTGTGTCCCTCCAATCTATTTCAAAAGCAGTAACATGCAACAGTGTTTTGATCCTTTTTATAACCCTATAAAGCAGTCAAAAGAGGTAGTAATCCTGTGCTGTAAAATGAGGGTGAGTGGGATTGCTGCCTCAGATCAGCTCCCAAGTGAGTAACAGGGTCAGTTTTAAGACTCCAGCTTTCTGATTCTTAGCGCAGTGCTATTTATTATGACAGTGAAAATATGATTATTTTTACTTTGGTTCCGTCAGCACTCCTCACTGTAGATGCTTGTCTTTTAACAAGAAGACAGCCTCAGACACCTGAATTAGCCATACCTCTATAAATGGGGTCTAATTCTACTTTAGTTCCCGAGAAGCAACTAAAGTCAAACAACAAATTTGGGCTTACAGTTAAACTGCTATCACTTATGATATGCTTTCAGAAAAAGACCAAGAAAAAACCTCTCTGATTTCCTAAGAGTGTTATCTGGTACAGACCATTTCTTAAGATAAAGAAAATAATAAAATGTCAGGTAAAAGAGAGATTTTGAGTTTATTTCAAGCTTCTTTTTAGCATGGAATATATAAACAATAGGTGTGTTTTTTTCTTTCCAACTCAAGGAGTAATGATAATTCTATTCTAAATATGCATTTGAAAAGTTTACATCAGCAGAATGTGAAAAAATCACTTGAAAGTTCTCTCTAAAATATCTATTAGTAAGTCCTGGCAAAAAAGCTGGGTTGTATTAAGGAAAATTGCTCATTACACTACAAAGAGTATTTGAAACAAAATTGCAGAGTATTTGCATAATAGTTCTCTTCTTTTTTTTTGAGAAAGAAAAGATGAACAAGACACTAATTGTAGGTTTTATTTTTTCATAAAGAAAATAGCAGATGGCTTTTTTGAGGGATAGGGAAATAGATAAAGAAATGAGAATATGGATTCATTTAGAGCGATAGTGTGATGAAAAAGAAAAAAAAGTCCAGTATTTTAATAATAGTGTTGGGTTTCAATAAATCACTCTGTGTTAAAACTAATAATGTGTGCTGCTCCATATTTCATGTGGCCCATGGAAAGAATTTTGGAATCTTTGCTGTTGTCACTAAAAAAAATATCACCAAGGCCACTGGAATAAGTACAATTTGACAGGTGCATTATCAATTTTTCCAGAAATAAAATTATTAACCATCTTTGTTTTCCCTTTCATAC